TCCACCTCCCCTCGCTCTCTACGAACTTGGTGTCGCGCCCTGTCGCACCAGACGCTCCTCTGGCACCACCGCCTTGGTCACCCCTCTGTGGCACGCCTCCGTGGCATGCACTCCCGTCTCCTTGTCTCTGGTCTTCCCAGGTCTTTGCCTCCCCTCCCACCCTCGCCTGCCCCACCCTGCCTTCCCTATGTCGAGGGGCGGCAGCGCGCCGCTCCTCACTCCTCCTCGTTCCCCCCGATGACTGCTCCCCTGCAGACTCTCCACCTGGACGTGTGGGCCCAGCCCGCGTCCGTGGACAGGGCCACGAGCGGTACTTTCTGCTGGTTGTCGACGACTACACGCGTTACACCACGGTCTTCCCCTTGCGCCGCAAGGGGGAGGTCCCTGATGTTTTGATCCCTTGGATCCACGCTGTTCGTCTCCAGCTCCGCGAGCGGTTCGAGACGGACCTTCCCGTCCTTCGTCTGCACTCTGACAGAGGTGGTCAGTTTTCCTCCAACCTCTTGCGAGACTTTTGTCGTGGGGAGGGCATTCGCCAGACGTTCACGCTTCCGGCCTCTCCGCAACAGAATGGGGTTGTTGAGCGCCGCATTGGCTTAGTCATGGAGGTCGCTCGTACCTCCATGATCCATGTGGCTGCCCCCCATTTTCTGTGGCCGTTTGCAGTCCAGTACGCTGCGATTCAGCTCAACCTCTGGCCCCGTGTCTCCTTGCCGGAGACCTCGCTTACACTGCGTTGGACGGGGGAGGTCGGCGATGCGTCGGTGTTCCAGGTCTGGGGATGTCGAGCCTTTGTCCACGATACGTCCGCGGACAAGCTCTCCTCCCGCGCCGTTCCCTGTGTCTTCCTTGGCTTTGTCCCTGACGCGCCTGGCTGGCAGTTTTACCACCCCACCTCGCGCCGTGTCCTGCCCTCTCAGGACGTCACGTTTGACGAGTCGGTTCCCTTTTACCGTCTCTTCCCCTACCACACTGCCCCTCTCCCTCCTCCGCTGCTCTTCCTCGCACCAGGTCCTCCTCCGGTAGACCCCCTCCCCCCTCAGGGTCCTGCTCCCTCAGGTGTGTCCCAGGTAGACCCTGTCGAGCCTGTCGAGGTAGCTGTCGACTCTGGTGCTGCTAGAGGTGCTGCGTCTGGGGGTGCTGCGCCTGCGGGTGCAGGGCCTGGGAGTGCTGAGCTTGAGCGCGCTGAGCCTGGGATTGCTGAGTCTGAGGGTGCGGAGCCCGGGGGTGTTGAGCCTGAGCGTGCGGAGCCTAGGGGGGCTGAGCCTGGGGGTGCTGAGCCTGGGGGTGCTGAGCCCGGGGGTGCTGAGCCTGAGCGTGCTGCGCCTGGGGGTACTTTGTCTTCTGGAGGTCCACCTGGTGTCTTGTCCCGTCGGGAGATGCTCTCTCCACCGCAGCTGCGCGAGTGGTTTGCTCGGCGCTGGAGCCTCCGGAGTGGTGCTGCTGGAGCTGGAGCTACGGGAGGTGCTGGAGCCCCTGGTTTTGGAGGTGCTTGTACTGGACGTACTGGAGTTGCTGGGGCTGGGGGTGCTGCTAGAGCTGCTCGAGGTGCTGCTGGAACTGGAGCTGCTGGAGGTACTAAAGGTACTGAAGCTGGAGGTGCTACTGGAGCTGGAGCTACTGGAGGTGCTGCTGGAGCTAGAGCTGCTGGAGGTACTGGATCTGCTGGGGCTGGGGGTGCTGCTGGAGCTGGAGCTGGAGGTTTTGCTGGAGCTGGAGCTAGAGGTGCTGCTGGAGCTGGAGCTGCTGGAGGTACAGGTGCTGTCGGTGCTGGTTCTGGAGGCGCTGAGCGACCGCGACCGTACTTTGTTCCCCTGCTTCAGCGTGTTCTTAGTGTCCCGCCTTCTACTGACCTTACTCCTCCCTTACTGTGTCCACCGCCTGACCAGTCCCAGCCGCAGTTACAGCCAGCCTCCCCACTGTCTGCTCCTTCTCCTTACACTGAGCAGCCCGGAGGTCTTACAGAGCGTCGTGAGCCTGCGTCTTGTCCTGCGTCGCCTGTTCGTGCTGTTCGCACTGGTCCTCATGTTCCGCGTCAGCGTCCTCCTCCTGTCCCCGGCATGCACTAGATGGCACTTCATCCTTCCTCTGTTCCACTGCGTGTCCCTCTCCCGTCTCCTCCTGCGTCCTCCCTTGCTGATGGTCCGGACCCGGAGTCTGACTCCCTTCGTGCTGCTAGTCCTAGTGTCACGTGTCTCCTGGCCACTATTGTTACTGATCCTTCGTTTGAGTCCACTGCTGCGTCTGCTCTTGTTGCTAAGCTGGTTGACTTTGCCGCCGCCTGTCGTCTAGACTACGCCGCTAGCCTTGTTGCTGAGTCAGGGTCTATCTGTCTGTCCTCCGTCCGTCGGGGGTGAGTGTGCTCTTGGCACGGACGTCCTTGAGGACAAGCAGGAGGACTTTGAGTGTTTTGCAGCTGCTGTACCTCATCTCGTATCCATGCTGATTGCACCTGAGGGAGACCCGGATGCACTAGACATCCCGACCCCGCGCTCTTACGCAGAGGCGATAGAGGGTCCCTACTCCTCTCAGTGCAGTCAGCCATGGACGCAGAGATGGCATCCTGGAAGTCCACAGGCACTTACGTCGACGAGGTTCCCCCAGCTGGGGCGAACATCGTCAGTGGCATGTTGATTTTCAGGGTGAAGCGGCCGCCAGGTTCTCCGCCTGTCTTCAAGGTGCGTTACGTTGCACGAGGCTTCAGTCAGCGACAGGGAGTTGACTTCTTCCAGACCTCCCCTACCCCGAAGATGACCACTCTTCGGGTACTGCTGCACGTCGCCGCTCAGCGTGACTACGAGCTTCACTCTCTTGACTTCAGCACTGCTTTCCTATAGGGCAGCTTGCACGAGGAGATCTGGCTGCGCCGCCCACCTGGCTTCACTGGGTCGTTTCTTGCAGGTACTCAGTGGAGCCTCCGGCGGCCAGTCTACGGTCTCCGCCAGGCGCCTCGCGAGTGGCACGACACACTGAGGACGACTCTTGCGGCTCTTGGGGTTGCTCCTTCTACTGCTGACCCGTCGCTGTTTCTACGCACCGACACTTCGCTGCCGCCGTTCTACATCCTCGTGTACGTCGACGACTTGGTTTTTGCCACTGCTGACACTGCTGGACCGGCCCACGTGAAGTCGGAGCTGCAGAGGAGACACACGTGCAAAGACCTGGGTGAGCTGCGCAGCTATCTTGGCGTGCAGATCACCTGGGACAAAGCACGGCGCACCATTACCTTGACTCAGTCACACATGGTGCAGCAGGTCCTTCAGCGCTTCGACTTCCATTACTCCTTGCCACAGTCCACTCCTCTGCCTACCGGTCACTCGCTCTCAGCTCTGCCTTCGGATGAGTTCGTAGAGCCGAGTGGCCCGTATCCAGAGCTTGTGGGCTGCCTCATGTACCTGATGACCTGCACTCTACATGACCTTGCTTACCCTCTTAGCATCTTGGCACACTAGGTTGCGCCCGAGAGACACCGACCAGAGCACTCGAAGTTCGCTAAGAGGGTGATGCGCTACTTGTGCAGTACGTCGGACATGGGGCTCATGCTTGGAGGACGGGCTCGAGTTGTCCTCAGTGGTCACGCAGACGCTTCTTGGGTTGACGACTTGGCTACTCTGCATTCGTCACAGGGTTACACCTTGAGCCTTAGCTCCGGCTCTGTTTCTTGGCGGTCTACCCGCTCGTCTTCTGTTCTTAGTTCCAGTTGTGAGGCTGAGATCTACGCAGGGGCCATGGCTGCACAGGATTTACGCTGGCTCACCTACCGGCTAACCGACTTGGGAGAGCCGCCTCGTTCTCCTCCAGTTTTGTACGTCAACAACAAGGCCATGATTGCCTTGTGTCAGGAGCATAGACTGGAGCACAGAACGAAGCACATCGCTCTGCGCTACTTCCTTGCTCGAGAGTTGCAACAGCGTGGTCAGCTTCATCTTGTTTACGTGGCCTCTTAGGCCAACACTGCTGATATCTTCACCAAGGCACTTCAGCCTTGTGATCATCAGCGTTTCTGTACTGTTCTAGGCCCTGTGCCTACTTTGCCTCACTTGCTCACTTCTTGACTTTGCCTGTACTGTGATCTATATACATATACATGCATGCTTACACTTGCTAGGTTGTGATCACTGTACTGCTTGTTCTCCTATATACATAACTCTGCATGTGAACTGGCCTTGTGGCCATTTGCTTGTGCTCAGACTGCGTGGTGACTTTGTGATCCACCCTGAGCTTGCTTTGCTTTTCTTGATTGGTCTTGTGACCTCTTGTTCTCCCCCACTTTGCCTATGGGGGTGTGTCAAACTTTTATGTTGCTCATTGTGTAGGCTGTAGTGGGGTAGCCCATATGGGGTACAATCCAATTAGGGTTAGCACTTGTACCCATCCTGCTGTTAGTCATTTCATTCCTCGTTCATTCTCCTGACATGTGCCAATAAAACAGGGCCCTTGGAGATGTGGATGAGCTCAACGGAGCTCTCTCATTGGTTGGTTGGATTGTTGGGATCCTTGGCCAATAGGGAAAAGATTCTTAGGATTGCATGAATAATAGAATGATTGGTGGTTTGGGTATGCCCTTCGACTATATAAAGTTCTTGTAGCTTGTGTGTAACTCATATAATTCATACTGCATTCTTACCAATGCCACAAGCTCTCTTACCACCTTGTACCTTAGCCTACTCAAGCTACCTTGGGAGGATCATCACTTCAAGTGGAGAAGAGCCCGAGGGGAGGGTTGCATTTTTACAAGGAAGTGCAGTCCAAGAGTGTCTTGTACAACAAGTGATGCGAGAAGGTTATACGTATCCGGGTGATGCTCAAGAAGGAAGGTCAGAGGTTTTTAGAAGTTAGTGATTTTCTTGTGGCTCATACAGGTCTCTCTCCCTATGGCTGATAAAACCGAACTTGTGAGTGATTGATCTAACGCTATGTCGACGATTGCTGCATCCATGGGCCAGCTTCCGTGCTTCGATGGACGCTCACCTGACCCCAAAGTGTGGTTAAGCCAAGCTATGAGGGCGTTGAGGTGCTTCCCCATGAACGCAACCGACGAGCAGAAGTTGGATTGTCTCCTCATGCACCTCACTGACTCCGCCTACATGTGGGCGGAGAGCAAGGAGTTCAAGACGGTGGCAGGCTTTGATCAGGCGTTCAAGGAGCGGTTCGTGTAGGAATTAATTGCAACGGTGATGCAAAAGCTTTCGGCACTCAAGCAAAAGAAGGGGCAAACGGTGGCAAACTTGGCAGACGAGGTGAGGCAATTGGCCTCCTACGTTAAGAGCTATCGAACCCCCATGATGGTGAGAGCGTTCATTGAGGGTTTTGAGGATCAGGGGTTGAGGGAGAAGGTGTTGGGAGGGAGGCCAATTTCATTGGAAGCTACCGAGGAAGCAGCCAAGTATTTCGTGTCGTACGCGCAGCCGAAGGAGATAGAGAAGGGAAAAAGAAGGTAGTGAAGGAGGAGTCGGGCGTGGATAAGATCACGAAGCAGTTAGAGCGCTTGATCATGCAACTCACGAAAATGCAGCAGGGAAGGGGAGACAGGATTCTCCCTGGGCTGGGGGGATAGGAGGAGGAGGAGGAGGAGGAGGAGGAGGAGGAGGAGGAGGAGGAGGAGGAGGAGGAGGAGGAGGAGGAGGAGGATTCAAGTGTTACCATTGTGGGAAGGAGGGACATATGGGAAGAGTGTCCTCAAAAGGGGAGGCCAGCTATGAATGTGATGCAGCAGATCTTGGAGAAATCCAATCCCACCATGACCATAGCGGAGTTCTTGAGTGGGGAGGAAGGAGGAGTGACTCTTAAGAGTGAGCGGAAGTTCCACGCGGGATTGACTGCCATCCTCAAGACTCCCGACTGGCAGCAGTCTTACCCCAAACTCATAGGACTCTGGGTGGCTATTGCAGTCTTGCCTCTCAGCACTGTTGATTTTGAGGGAGGCTTCTCTTGACAAAACCTCATTAAGAGGTGGCAGAGGGGCAGTATTAAGGATTGTAGGCTCGGTGATCTTCTGTGCATGTCATTGCTAGACCATGAGCTAGATTTTTCACGAGTTGTAGAGATTTGGCGCAACTACAAGAAGCGCCGGCCTGTCACTGCACCTGCTGCAAGACACAGGGTTTAGTTGATGGTGGAGTGCTCCTATAGAAGTTCTCAACTCCGACCCTGATTCAGATATGTGAGATGGTTGATTCTAGTGTTTTTTATGAAAATGCATGTTCGGCTTAAGTTTTACAGGTAACACTGAAATTTCAGCCTAGAATATTTATGATGTATGAATTTCCAGCCTAAAATTTTGAGGCAACGCTGACACATAGAGTTCCGAGAGGGGTGCCAACTGATCGTTCAGTGTACCACAAAACGAATCTAGGGGCCTGATGCCCTGCATTAATTTTAGACTATGATTAAATAAATTTATAACCTTAGGGGGTAGGCTTATAATATATCAAGGTTTGTAGGGGGGTGCGGTTCTAATCGAGTTCCGGCCATAAGCGCACTGCTCCAGATAGAAGCGCATGCGCTTAACATATGGTAGGCCTGCACTTATATCCGGAGCAATACGGTATTCTGTGAAGTTAATATCAAACTCAACTATTACACTATGCAAGCACAAACGCACATAGAACCTTCGTTGTTGAGAAAACATGCACGACGATACGGGACCTAGAAGCACATAGACAGAAACCCACAAAGAAAAGTCCACATAGTAGATCCAGTAAACAGCATGAACCCTTGCAGCAACATTGGTGCTCTTGAGAAGGCAGCACCCAAGAAATAAATGAGGCTGACCAGGCTGCCTGGGGAATGGAAGTGCTGCCACTTCGCGCCAACCCATGATTCATGAACCTTATTTAGGATGCTCCTTCAACAGCACCAGAAAGGAAAGAGGGGAGAACGGATGGAAGCACATATAGTCGGGCTGAATATGTTTGCTGTAGATATAGAGTGATGATGAATGTGGAAATAGCTAGTTCACTGAGAATGCAGGAGCCATGATGGCATGACACGTGGCTGGTGGTTGTCCATGCCTTTCTGCAGTGGGTTGGGAAGAATTAAACACCAACACTGTGTGTCCCTCACTTGCTCACCCACTCATACACGCCCCTGGGTCACCCACCCGGGCTTGCCTCCTTCGTAATGCACTCACACCCACCAGTCAAGCGCCACTCACCACATCCCTCTTCTCCTTTGTTTGGTCCAGGTCCCCCTTATTCTCTTAAGTCCCCTGCTCTTCCCTCCACCCCTTCCTCCATGCTCTCCTGCACTCACTCACCTTCCCCCACACATCCCAACCCACCCCCGCATTCACCTGGAGTGGCGCTGATTGAGGAGGGAAGAGCAGTCTGACCCGCAATGTCCGCCCATTCTCCCCTCCCTTCCCCACCTCCACTCCTCGCATTTCTCGTAGTGAGTGCGTTACCTGGTGACGCCTGCCTGTGTGGTACCAGCACGGGCAAGGAGGGCATTGCTGCTGCAGCAGCACGCTTTTCCCACCATACCCACACACGCTCCTCTCTGCACACCCGCACACGCTTCTCCTATCATCCGCTCACCTCACGTGGCGTTGACATGTGGCGAGTCCCAGCCATGGGGCACAATCCCTCTAGTAGTACCCCCACACCCTCTCCCTTCTTCCCCTCCCAGTCCCCTCCCCCCTCTGTCCACCCCCCACTCTTCCTACCACCACACCTCGCGTGGCGATGACACGTGGCGGCTACCAGCCTAGGGGGCACGGGAGCAGCATATCCCCCTAAATATATCGCAAGCCCCCGCTCCCCCCGCCACACCTACATTGCTCCGCAGCACCAGTGGGCCTAAACGGGCGTCACACCCGCCTTGCAATCTTACCCGTCTGGCACTTCACTGGCGCTGGTAACTTGGCAAGAGGGAGTGTCCTGAGAGCAGTCGCACTGAAGGTATAGCAGCAGCAGGGGGGGCACAGGGGGCGATGAGAGTTGAAGGCATGAGGAAGAGTTGAAGGCATGAGGAAGAGTTGAAGGCATGAGGAGGAGTTGAAGGCATGAGGAAGAGTTGAAGGCATGAGGAGGAGTTGAAGGCATGAGGAGAAGTTGAAGGCATGAGCGGAAGGGTTGAAGGCATGAGGAGGAGTTGAAGGCATGAGGAGGAGTTGAAGGCATGAGGAGGAGTTGAAGGCATGAGGAGGAGTTGAAGGCATGAGGAAGAGGGAGAGGGCAACCGATCGGCAACAGCAGTAGCAAAGCAAAAGAAAGCAAGTGCCCAAGTGCAGTCAATGAATATAGATCCGGAAAGCAGAAGCAAATCACGTGTCCATGTGCCACGGAGGTAACCACCGCGCTGCACGTGTCCACTCACAAGGTGGTGGTGTATACGGTGTTTGGCGGATCATGCTGGTACGTCTTTGAGGGACTTCCCTGGCAGCCCGGCATGGGGTAGGAGAGGCAGGCACACTTGTTGGGATTACCATGTCAACGGGAGTTGTGGAAGGCCCCGTCCTCGCTTGGGCGGAGCCGACCTTGTGGTCGGGTGTAGGGGTGCAGCCGACCTGTAGCAGTGGGTGAGCTGGTCGACAGGAGTGGTCAACCTGCACGGGGGCCACTGCATGGGCGCCGACTTCGGATGGCGCCGAGTTTGGGAGGTCGACTTGGGAAGTCGACCTGCGGAGGGCGTCGACTTGGTGACGCCGACTTGGGGCAGCCGACTTGGGTGGCCGGCTGACAGGATTGCTGGTTGACCTAGTGTTGGTCGACCAGGGGTGTTGTCGACCTGGTGGTCGACCAGGCCTGGTGGTCGTCGAAGGTGGGGCCGACATCGACCTCCACAGGGGAGACTGGAGGGCGTCGAGGAGCAGGACATCGAGCAGCAAGGCGCCGGGATGGAGGGCGCTGACCTTGGGTGACCGACGACTTGGCGGAGTCGGCAGCCTAGTCCCGAAGTGGTCGACGAGGGGATGCCGACCAGGGAGGACGCCGACTTGTTGGCATCACCCTAGTTGCCCAGTCGACAGTGTAACCCGGGCGACGGACTTGTGCGGGAGCATGCGAAGGTCGCCGGGATGGTTCTGCGACGCCGACCTCGGAAGTGGTATCCCGAGGTCGACGTGGCTGGTGGGCAGTCGCTGGCGTGGAGTCAGCCTGGGTGTCTACCCTCTGCATGTGATGAGGAAGCGTGCACCCACCAGCTACTCGAACCTGCGAAGCAGGTGCATCGTTGTCCTGCGGGTGCAACGCTGTGCAACCGACTTGCTGCAGCGTTGGCACATCGTAGACGTGCAACGTTGGCAAGCCGCGACTTTGCTCTGCTGGAGCGCGGTCGACCAAGTCGTGCTGGCACGCGGTCGACCGTGCTATGCTGGAAGTCGACCAGCAGCCTTGCTAGGTCCTGATGTAGTCTTGCATGCCAATGTTGTTGCTATCATTGTTGTCAACTTTCCTTAGTGAAACTCTTGCAAAATTACCCCGTGAACTAGCAAGCAGTGTGTGCACTAGGAAAACGACTAAGGAACGAACGCAGAGATCACACGAGCATGCCTAGCCCGTAGTCTAGCTCCTGTTGATAGACTTATCTCCACATGGTGCGGTGAGCGAGGACGGCACACGACTTACCTTTCAGTCAGGTCGATGTAGTTGTCACTTACCTAATTTGTGTTCGTAGGCCGGCAGCTGTGCTGTCGTCACTATGGTAGGCGCCGTAGTTGACACGAGGATGGTGGACACCCTGGAGAACGCGAGGACACGTCACGAGGCTAACAAGTATGGCGACCTGCCCTGAGCGGTCGTCGAGGCTGGCATCCGTGCCGTGTGGGCAACGGAGCACCCTTCTCGGCCTGTCTCTCCTCGACCGGTGAACACCGAGGGCGGCGTCGACGTGGGCGTCAACGCCAGTGGTGGCCAAGTCGGCAGCAGTGCAGGAGGCACGTCGAGGCAGCATGGTGTGATTCACGCCGATGAAGTCGGCGGCGTTCAGGTGCAAGAGGCGCGGTCGTTGGCGGCTGCAGGCTCCTCGCAGGGCGATGTCGGAGGTCGACGAAGCGGTTTGTCGCCGATGTTGGCGACCCACGTAACTGCGGGTGGGATAGCACCGAGCTAGCCCTAGTTCAAGTTTACGCCAGACAGGATCTTGGTCACCCCTCCGCTCGTAGGTCGACCGGACATTCTCACCTGGAAGGAAGCTATCGAGCCCCAGCTAGAGATGGCCGGGCTGATCGGCTTTGCCCGCGGCACCGTGGCGGCGCCGGAGGAGACCTACCCTGACCTGCGTGCGGAATTTTGCGCCGTGCAGCTGCTGACCTTCACGGTCATCTCGCGGTGCTGCTCGCCGGGCGTGCAGATCGCCTTGAAGTCGTGCAGGGAGTACCTCGACGCCGGCCAGAGGGCGTGGCACTTCATCGAGTCGACTTACCAGGTCACCGACGACTTGTTCATCGCCCAGCTTGAGGGGCAGCTGACACACCTGCGTATGGGCGACCTGGAGACAGCAACCAACTACTGTAACCGAGCTTGGCGAATTCTCGCCACCATAAGGATGGCCGGCGCGCAACACTCGATGGCGTCGTACGTCACGCACGTCATGCAGGGACTCCCGAGCAGCTAAAACCTTCTAAAGCGGCTGTCGATGGCGCAGAGCACACGGGCGACGCTCAACGAGGACACCTTGACCTCGTACATCCTGCAGGACAAGGCGATGTAGGAGGCTGAGCGGTCCCAGGAGCTCCTGGCGCAGGAAAACTACGTCGCCCCAGCGAAGCAAGGTGGTCGACCGAGGCAGCACGGGCAGTCTGGCGGCGGTGGTAGTAGTGGCTAGAAGCCAACCAAGGACGCCGTCAAGAAGAAGTCGGCCAAGGACAGCGGTCAAGGAGGAGGAGGTCGACGTCCGGAGTGCTGGCTGTGCGGCGACCCCGACCACCTCTCCTTTGAGTGCCCCGACTGTAGTGACACCGACGACGATGACGCCAAGGGAGGCCGCGGGAGGTCGGCCAACCGTCGTCCACGTCGAGGAGGGAACCAGCCGCGCAAGGAAAAGCAGTCGACCAAGACGTCGACCTCGGCGAAGGACGCCGACTCCTCTGCTGGCGGCAAGGGGCGAGACGACAAGGTGGCGTCGTGCTCGCTGGTCGGCGTCGTGGAGCCGGCCGTCTCGCTTGCGTCGGAGGCCGGCGAGGACTTCCAGGCGGTGGCGGCAGCTTTGTAGGCTAACCCGGCAGTGGTCGTGCTCGATAGCGGCTGCTCGCACCACCTGATGGGGACGAAAGAGGCCTTCGTCGACTTGGAGCCGAGCGGCAATGTGAAGCACATGCGCAGATTCAATGGGGCGCTGCAGGACGTTCAGGGCCGCAGCACTATCGCTCTGCAAGGGGAGGCCGGGAAGCAGGTGCTCATCCCCGACGTACTCTACGTCCCGGACGTGCGGGCGAACCTGCTTTCGGCCGGCCAGCTGAAGGAGAACGGTGTGAAGCTGCAGGAGGACGACGACGTGATGTTGCTTGTCTCCGCGGCGGGAGACGTCCTTGGCCGGGCATGCTACACCGGCCGTGTCCTCTGCACCGGCCTGCGTCCCTACTCGGCGAAGTCGGCAACACCCGCGACGGAGGTTGTGGCCCTGCGGGCGATCGTCTTGGCAACAAAGTCGACGCCGGACAGGCTACATGCGAGGCTTGCACACGTCGGCATGGACACCATCCTGAGCTCGGCGAAGCACAAGATCGCCACTGGGCTGGATTTCAAGTCGGCGTCGGGCGCCGACTCACCGTGTGTCTCGTGTGTCGGCGGGAAGCTGGCGCGGCACACCTTCCCCGACCAGGGCTCCGACGCCGACGACGTGCTGGCGGTCGTGCACATCGACCTATGCGGACCATTCCGGGTGGCTGCCAAGGATGGCAGCCTATAATTCTTGCTACTGAAGGACCGCAAGACCTGCTACATGTGGGTGAGGCCGGTCGCCAAGAAGTCAGATGCGCAGCAGGAGTTCGTGCAGTGGCTTGCGGTGGCTGAGCGACAGACAAAGAAGTCGGTGTTGATGCTGCGCTCTGACCGGGGAGAGGAGTTCCTCGGGAAATAGTTCACCGACTTCGTGAACGGCAAGGGGATCATCCACGACCTGACCTGCCCATACACCCCGCAGCAGAACGGCATGGCGGAGCGAGAGATGAGAATGGTGGTGGAGTCGGTACGCACGATGCTGCTGCACATGGGCGTGCAGCACCACTGGTGGCTGTCACGATTTTTATCTTTACGTAGGAGTAGTAGATATAAATTCGTGACTTATAGGATAATATGAGACAGTAGTGAGAATAGTAATAGCGCGGCAAGCAGGCCGAAGCGAGCGAAACTGAAATTGAGATCCGATAGGCGAAATGGTACCATTAGAGCCGTGCTTGCGTGTTTGTTTTCACACCTATGCTTACACATTCCCACCCTGCTGTGAGACGCTAAGTAAGAGAAGCCAAACGGTGCAAGCACTCAACGAATAACGTTCACTCAGCGATCCAGTCTGCCGAGCTAGGGTTTGTACCTTGGAGCTAGCTAGTGGCCTGAGGGCATTTTCAACAAACACGCAAGGAGTTAGTACCGATGAATAGTAGAGACCTAGTACGCACCTGACTGTGGGACAATCCCGGAGAACCTAGGCCTACTGAAGGTTGGCGCGCTGACGCAGTCGCTACAAGCGGGAGGTCCGGCCCGTCCCGTCCCACTACAGATTCGCCGAGATATAGAACTCCCCATCAG